CGCTCAGCCCCGCCTCCTCCCACTCCCGCGCCCCGCCCGCGACCCCCACCGACACGCACACCCACACCCACACCCACACCCACACCCACACCCACACCCACACCCACACCCACACCCGCACCCACACCCACCCACCACCCCACACCCACACCCACCCACACCCACACCCCACACCCACACCCTTAAGCCTGTTCTACAGAATCATGATCGAGTTCCCGGAATTGAACGGAACTGATTCCGGAATGTTCAACATTGCGGAATAGGATGTATTCTCATTTCGTTATAGAAGGGTGTGGGTGTGGGCATGCGCATGGGTGTAGATGAAGAGCACATTAGTACCCATACCCATACCCTGTGGTATATATTGTTTTAGATACAACGTACTAAGTGATTAAAAATTAAAATGTGAAATGCGTTCATTTTTTATGGTTCACCCGATGTATACATTTTTCGGCCAGGTATGTGCAATATTTTGAATTTTAATGGTAATGGATCAATCATAGATAATTGCGGCACTGACTGGAAGATTTTTTCATTAATTTAATCATGTTCTGTTGTTGTTGTTGCATCTTCTGCTTCGATGATCTTGCTTTCTGCCTTAATAACACTCTGACGTGCCACTTGAGCGTTCTCATGAAAAAGTGCCAATAATTCATCATCATGAGGTTCTACTCTCCGAGCCATCTCAATTGCTTTTTCATACGATTCAACACATTGCCATGGATTACAATCTAAATCGTAGGCTTCACCCATGTGACTACAAATAAATGCGGCAATTTTGTAATCAGGTGAAGACATACTTAAAGATAATTGAAATGCCATCTTATAGTAATAAATACCTTTATCTAAATTATTTTGTCGGACTTGAGTGATACCTAATAATACAAGTGTATTTATGGCATTTTCCTGTTCATTTTGTTTCATTTGTTTATCCAAAAGTTGCTCGAAAAAGTTTGCTGCTTCTTGATATTTTTCACTTTCCAAATATAATTGGCCCAAGTCTGCATATAGTGAAGTAAGACGGAAATCATCATTTTTCATGTAAAGAAGTCGTATATTTAGAGTAGTTTCGAAATTATTTATCGCTTCGATACTGTTTCCACTATGTGCATAGTATTTCCCAAGTCCATCATATATATTAGCCAATAGTTCGTAGTTTGTTGAGGAGCATAGTGAGCGAGCTAATTGATAGCTTTCCAATGATAATCCCATTTCATTTAGTTCTGAATAACAAAAACCAATATCTATATGAATTTGAGCAAGTTCGTTTGTCTTACAAAAACTAAGCAGTTTTTGGTAACACTCTAGCACTTGACGATATTCATTTGATGCTTTATGAACATTCGCCATACTTTTGAAAATACAAATAATCATTTCATGATAATATTCTTTATTCATATTGTCCAACATTACCAAAGCCTGGTCAAGATGCTCAAGTGTTTGAGATTTGTGACCAAGTTTCCAATATATGTTTGCCACTAAAAGATGAGCTCCAGCTCCCAAATAATGTTCATCATCAGCAATATGCTGTAAAGTAAACTCAAGCATTCGCAGAGCCGATTCATATTGTTTCAAATCATTATAAATTATAGCTATATCCTTGCTTAATTGAGCTGGAGTATAATGATGAACGGACAATAACTGATCATCATTAATTCCATTTAGAAGATCAATTGCTTGTTGTGTACAATTTTCATGAGTATGTACATTGGCTAGACTGATTTGAGACAGAGGTAAATCATTTGGACAATGTGTTTGGCGTACAGCAGAACTATTCTGAATTTCAATGTGTGCTCGAGTGAAATCTCCTCCTTTTAAATGGATGCTCGCTAATGTATCATGAATACAAGACAATTCGTGATAGTCTATTGGCTGTGCAATATTTGCTGACTGCAATGCATGTTCAGCATTAGTTAAAGCTTCTTGCAATAAGTTCTTATCTCGTAAAATTACACTAACACGATGATAGCAGGGAGCAATAAAAGAATGATTTTTCGGATAGATGATCAAGTTCATCGTTTTGACTTTCTCGAATATTTCAAGAGCTTCATCAAACTTACTTAATTTTTCCAATGTAAGACCAAGGTTTAAATAAATTCCAGAAGTTGTGGGATGAAATTCTGGTAATTCTTTTTCAAAGATCACCAAAGCATCTGTTAGATTTTTACGAGCCAGATCAAGATTGCCTCTTTTCAAGTTCAAAATACCAATGGTACGTAATGTTTCTGCAACACAAATGCGTGTATTAGGAGCTAGCTTATCAAAGAGCGTTTTCGCTTGATCCGAATGCTCAACGACTTTGTCGAATTGTTTCAATTCAAGATATATATTAGCTGTTGCTTGGTGTAAATCTGCCATTATAATTGAATTTTCAGGTGCTAAAGGGTGTGGGTGTGGGTGTGGGTGTGGGTGTGGGTGTGGGTGTGGGTGTGGGTGTGG